TTTAAAAGGTCCATTTTTTGGCGATTTCACTTTGAAAAAAGTTTTATTTAAAGTTATCAATTTCTCAATTTTTGCAGAAATGTCATTTAACACCTTCATCGACTAGATAGTGCGCAATGTCTGTATTTGCTTATTGCAACTGTCGTCACCAGAGCGAGATGCAAATACAAATATGAACAGCAGCAACAATTTTAAAAATTCAGGCGACATTCTACTTCCTATACCCTCTCACTTGACGCCCTTGTTGCCAAAAAGTGGCTTATGAGGAATTAGTAAAATTTTGGCAGCTTCATGATTCTCATCACGATTAACTTTGCCCGTTGCCTTCCAGCATACTCAAAGGCTCATTCAAGGTATGCAGACCGTTTTTAGATCGCGATTGGGTCGAAATGGGATAACTAAATTTCAATCGCGTGTATATATAAAGGGTTTATATTTTTCAATGAGAACTTTTAGCTTGTGTCAGAGAGATCAGATGAATAATGTGTACCTAGAGATGAGGATTTTAAGATAAAATTAAGCGGACGATGGAGCACACGATTATACAGCCCCTCAATTGGCAGTAATTGGCACTTGGATCAACGTTTGACTCAATTCGGAGAACAGTTAATGAAGCAAACATATGCACAAGTATTATAAAATTTACATCCACATGCATAATAGAGCAGCAGACTAAAAGTCGACGAAATGCTCAATTTTTTCAATCTTGACTCTGGCAATCGTATAGTGAAAAATGTGCTCCTTCCTACTCCTCAATTTGAATTCGTCCGAAAAATTACGCCAGCCATCGGGGTAGATGTGTGTGGAGGTGCTTGACAGGTGTTTGACGAAGGAAAGGTGTCGAACGTAACACATTACGTCAAAAACGTAACGCGGCCCTGGACGCCAATCCTCCCTCCGTAAATGCAGGCTCTAACCTCCACTCCCTAGAACGTCACGTATTTTACGCTCGTCCCTCAGGTGTGGTATTTGCCTAAATGAAGGAACACCACGCTCTTACATGCGAGGAAAATATCGCTGATAGAGTTGGCGAAATCTTTGAGAGAGTAAAAGCGGCAGCCCGGGTCGACTACTGGCATGATGACAAACGCTCTGCAATCCGCGAGAACGCCGTCTTATCAGATTATCCGACTCGTCAAATGGCATCCGCGGTCCCCCCTTCCCCCTCCCACTCCCACCCCCCTCCCCCGTGGGGCGCCGCGACGGGACTGTCCCGTCTCAATTCCGGGACGCCTGCCTGGCCCAGTAGTACTTCGTGTTGGTGAAGTGGAGTCACTGCCCTTCGAGTAGACTGAGTCGTCCAGCGGTTTATGGAAGATATCCCCAAACAGGAAAGGGTGAGCAGCAAATTTTTAACTCTACAGCCTCCCTCCCTCCCTCATCCCTCTCTTGAGCCACCATCCCATATTGAAACCTTCTTAAGTTCCCTTCTCCCTCCAACATGAGTGTAATCCTGCTGTCCTTCAAGATGCACCCGGAAGTTAGGCGATATTATCCCGCATGGATAGTGGTAGACTTCCTTTCAGCCCTAGCTGCGCCGCCCTTTCACGATTGTTGTATTCCTGCCGCCTGGCATGTTGCCCCTAGAGGGTAGGCGATAATATGTACATGTGCTTAAACACATTGCCATCTGCACCGCGAGGTCAGGGGATAGGTGGGAGATTCAACCTCGACGCTCGTCATAACGTCGTCCGTCTGAAGTAAGGGGGTATCCCGATTTCCACATGAGCCCTGTCCTACATATAACTGCATGCGTTTCAAGGCTCACTTAGAGATAAAGGTATGCCCTTCCGTCAGGAGGACGAAGATAATCGCGGCTTCTTCCGTCATAGTTGCATTGATGCAATTGAGAATCCGACGAGACTATTCATCACCAGTTGATGAGGCCGGTCAAACCGTAGTAGACACTGATGCTGTGAATGACGTCATCCATCTTGTTTTAAGAGGACGTAGGAACTTGGCGTTTGAATAGAATTGATCGTTTTTTTTTTTTTTTGCTAATCCAAGAGGCTCAACACATGCCCTGCACCCTCCGTCTCCCTCTCCTTCGTTGAATTTTTTTAGTCCCCGTGGCACTGTCTGTACTATTTACTGGCCAGTAATTATTATGATTTGCCCTTGAAAAAGTAAAGAGCCATCGATGCACTGGAATAATTTTTTTAAGCAGTGCATTAACTTCTGTAATCGTAGCTCTCGGTCTTTAAAGACGGTAAAAGCGTAAATTTAGAGTTTTTTTAAACCAGATTTTATGGTCTTGTGGTTGATTGTTCAGAGTATGGTGAATCCGCTAATAGGGTCAAATGCGGTCAAATTGAAAACTTTTAGCTTTGAAATGAGAACGTTTTAGTTTCCATAGAGGGTCATTGTTCAATCGAGAAAATGAGGATTATTACATACGATAAGGTGATAAAATTGAAGTATACGAATTTTGTAAAATAATATACGTGCAATTACGCATTGCTAATATCAGAGGGTGATCAGTGATCAAAGTATTATTCTTTCGGTTATTTTGGGCAACCTCCAAATATTTCAGGATGTAAAATTCAATAGCTTTGAAGTAGTATGTACACTACGTAGAAAATAATGGGCCTGTTGCAAACTTTTGCTAGAGCAAAACTAAGAGTTGTTTCTCATAGATAATGCCTCAAAAATCACGATGAGCGCATCGGCAAACTCTGAAATGCACTCATAACTTCACAATCTGCGTAAGAAATTTGCGGATTTTTGAGCTTCCCGCTTCAAAAACGATACTACGGCACAGGTGAACATTTTGTAAGAGGAGTCGTTCCATCGTCGGCAATAATCATCATAGCCGACGCCAATCCGCCAAAACACGTTTGATAGGACGAGATAACACCTGAACTGGATTAGACCAGATAACAATCGGTGTGTTAACGTTCATATTTTCCACGCCCGAATTGATTGACCTTGAACTCTCCTTGGATTACGCGCGGAACTGCGTGCAAGCGTCGGCCATGATGAATATCGCCGACGATGGAGGGACTCCTCTAACAAAATGTTCACCTGTGCCGTAGTATCGTTTTTGAAGCGGGAAGCTTAAAAAAACGCAAATTTCTTACGCAGATTGTGAAGTTATGAGTGCATTTCAGACTTTGCCGATGCGCTCATCGTGATTTTTGAGGCATTATCTACAAGAAACAACTCTTATTTTTGCTCTAGCAAAAGTTTGCAACAGGCCCATTGTTAAAGAATAAGTATGATTTGCTCTTATTTTTGTTCACCTTTATTTCGCTCCTCTGACGTAAGGGCGTATCTCGATCTTCGCATGAGCTCTAGAAAGCATGGATTTATATGTGAATCAGGGCTCACGTGGGAATCAAAATACGCCCTTGAGGGACGATGACCGAAAGATGACCTCGAACCAGGCCCCGCGTGGCGCACGACGGAGTTGACAGATCTTGTGGGAACTTTTAATCCCTCGTGAGAAGACATTTTAGAAATCAAGCAATCATAACATTCAGTTTAGTTCAGTTAAGGATTAATAACGTTATTTAAACCTAATTTTGTTGGGCCATTATGTTGGATAGAGCTGAAAAAAGAAGGGAGAAAAGGAGATGGTTTTTTGGTAGCAATTCGAGTCACAAATGAACACTTAAATTCTTAACAAAGCCATGTGAAAACACATTAAATAATAATAACAATAAAAACCTGTTTGCATTGTAAGGCCTGCCTCATTGTTCCTCTATTTATTTGGTCCATTTGTGCATAGGCAATTGTATTTAGCATTATATGTCCTCCGGAGGATTAAATAAAGAACCTCAAATGTTAATGTTCAGGTGGTTTTGGACGCTGCTAAATGTAACATGAACTCAATCTAGCCTTCTGTACGCCGAATCATCTACAGATGAAATAGTGGGTTGGATATTTTCGCACAATTTTGAACCGAAAGTTGGACTATTCGAAGATCAAACATAATTAATACTTTCTCGTACTTTCTTTTACTAGAAATGATTCCGACCCTCAGACACTCGTCCTAGTCTGACTCAAAGCGCTACATTTTTCACAATTCGAGCTTTGAAGTGATTTTACTCGGAAGGAGCTACACTTTACTGCCGCGATAAAGAAAAACGTCGTATCAACATTCGAAAGTTGCCAAATTTCCCCGGATAATGCATTTTTGAGAAAGTTATGCATACTTTTCCTTGAAATTATCAGATATTTTACTTTGAATTTCAGGGCCGGATTTACCTACTTGCCGCCCATGGGCCACCTGTCTTTTGCCGCCCCCTTCTCATTCGTTTTGAAACATCAATAAAAACCATCAAGTGAACGTGCCAGCGGGGGTGGGGTGCATAAGACGCGTTTACTCGTGTTTGAAACATTTTTTGGGAGAGCCGTGTCAACACTACTAGCAAAAATTCACCGAACTTTGCGCGAACGTTAAGTTTTGTAAAGCTATATCTCTGCGTGGACAAGGCCTTCCATTCATAAGAAATGAACGAAAAAATTATGAAAGAACAAACATAAATGTGGTTTGATGATTTTAACTTCCGCCGTCACCGCACCGTGTTTGGAGCAATGCGTGAAGTATTCCGACAGTTTTGTAGGCGCTATGAGTTTCACGCCGACGACCGCTGCTGAACGCACTGTGTTTGACGCAATGCGTGAAGTATTCACGCAGTCTTGTGGGCGCTATGCGTTTCACGCTGACCGCACTGTGTTTGGCGTAATGCGTGAAGTATTTATGCATTCTTGTAGGCGCTATCCGTTTCGCCAGCAGCTAGTTAAAAATGCGCCAGCTACCGTGCGGTAGTTACGATAACTACCGCGGTGGAGATCACTACTAACCCGGTAGTTACAACAACCATGAATGTTGATGTAACTACCGGGTTAGTTGTGACCTTAACCGAGGTAGTTATCGTAACTACCGCACGGTAGCTGGCGCATTTTTAACCAGCCGCTGGTTGTGTCGACTGCCCTATTTGTTTCCATGTTCCCTATTCTATAATATGGAGATGACGATACTGTTTTGTTTTCAGGAGCGTTTCAATCAACCAAGGTTAAGACTAGTAAAATCGCCATGGGAGTCAGCGCTGGAGACAGGCTGTGTCGACTACCCTATTTTTTCCATGTTCCCTATTCTATAACATGGAGATGACGGTACCGTTTTGTTTTCAGGAGCGTTTCAATCAACCAAGGTTAAGACTAGTAAAATCGCCATGGGAGTCAGCGCTGGAGACAGGCTCGGTAGAGGCGGCCTTCCAAGAGGTTCGACCCCCCCTCCTCCCCCCGCGAGGATACATAGTGGCGCCCACGCCGCCCACCATGGAGAAGATATTCCGGGCAAAGACACCGACTCATCTGGGCTCGGGCCATGGCGAGAACGTACCCCCGAACGCTCAACAACCCAGAGCCGCTCCTAAGGCGCCCCCCAGCCCCGCCTACAAGAACAAATGCGCCCGGGGATGGAACCCCAACCAGAGGCCGGACGAGCCCCAGAACTTCGGTAAGCCACCCTCCACCCTATTTTCCTTGCATTTAAACCTTTTTTTAAGGAAATTCGATTACACACGAGATTACACCGCACAATGGATCGAGTCAATAAGAGAGGTCGGACTTGAATTTTTGACTAAAACTGCTAGTTTTGATGTTGATTTCGTCACATTTTAAATTACAAGGGGTGCTTCCCGAAGAAAATTTCATGAGGAAGCCAATGGGACAGCTCTTAGAGCCTCAAAGTTTTGTATAAACGAAGTTATAAGCGTTAGCGACCGAGCTTTGTGGCGATTAGGCGTCGTAAAGCGCCAAAGAGCGCTGTAAAAGCGACTCATATGTATGTATGTATAAGCGTTTCAAGTTTCCAAATTTTATCCGACCGCGCCTATTGACTCGATCCACTTTGCGCCGATCATTACATTCACATCATCATTGCGTATCATCATACATTCATCATTACATTGCGCTGATCTTTGTTGTTGGAGGCATACAGAGTCACCTTTCGGCCAAAGTATCACAAGTGCGACGTTACAAAATTTCCGCCGCCGTTTTGTTTTTTTTACGGAGAAATTGTTCGACGAAGCTGTCCGAAAATTTCACGGAATTTTATTCGTGCTGCCGGTAAAATTCAGTCAAATTTTCAAACAGATTTTTTGCGCACCTACAGCTCTCTCATTATGTCTCGTTTTTATGCAATTAAGATGAATTTTGCTGTTTTAGCAATTTCAGTGATTTTAAAAAGAGTTAAGACGAATTTTGAAGGAAACTCAATTTCGAAAATTTTACACTTATTGCTCTCTTCGTTATCACGGTAGAACATCGGTATGATGTTATTCCAAAGCCGTTGTCACACGGCGCAGTTCGCCTGCGCAATCTGTGCGAGTGGGTGTGCGCTTAAAATCGAAAATCGGCAGTGAGCCACCATCGAGAAAAAACGGAGGAAGGAGGCCGATTTTTCATCTGCGTCGCTATACGTCACAAACCCTGACCCCTCGCGCAGACCCTCCGCTTCTGTACCCACCCTCGCTCTGCTGTTGGCTTCACCCTTCCACTTCATACAGATGGCCCCCAAAAGTAAAATGGCCTTGCACCTTCTTTTCTTTCAATGGGAGAACTGGCGATTCTCTGTTATCTCCGCGACTCTCATTCGAACTGTGCGTGTGACAACAGCTTATTGCGTCAGTCCAGTTTTACCCTTGTTGTAAAATGAAAAATAACGTGTTTTGAACCAGGCTACTATACTGACTCTTCCGTGTTCGGATTTTAGTGTCAAATTTCTTTCTTACCCTAATTACGTTTTGCATTCAAGTACTGCTTTTCTTCCGCTGTGCTTTCAAGCTTCTGTAAGTTAGTGAAATATACTTCAAAGGCGTACTTCAAATTATCCTTCAAAAAACACCAGCAAACTGTAAATACTATTTTTTCATTTTTAATAAAGCCATATGGACTCTTTGCAATTTTTTACTTACAGTCTTATGATATTCTCATTATCTCCTTATATGACGAGAGATTTTGGCAAAACTCTCTTTAGAACCTGGCTGGGTTAAATCACTGGGTGAAATGCTTTCAGTGTTATTTCGATATAGATTCAAATAATTAGTTGAATTTCTGACAATCGGGATGATTAAAAAATTGGTTCCATTTTGAAGGATGACTATGAATACAGCCTCGTATTGCTTTTGCTTCATAGCTTGATTTTATAAATACGGCGCTTGTGGCTGAGCTTCGCATTTTGTATTTTGAAGTTAGTTTTTGTAAGTAGAGCAAGTTTTGGAAAGCTGCTTTTCAAACGCCTATCGCGCGATTAATTGATTCCATCTGTTCTATGACATGAATGCTTTTTTGTAGGTAAATCTGATCTAGAAAAAAGAGCCTCGGATTCTGAAGCCGAGTCTGATACCTAAAGTCAAGTTGCCCGGAGGGGTTGCAATCACGAGTGCTTAATTGATAAAGGTGCTCGTATACTTTTTGGGGAAACTTCATTTCTCTTGAATAAAATGCAATTGATTGGAAGTGTTAATTCCGTATTTGAGTCCCGCAATTTATACGTCTGTTTTACCTTCATAAATGGAACCATCGTGAAACGGAACAAAACAACAAAATCTGTCCTCAATAAACGCAATTTTTTAAGAAAATTATTTTTTAAACCATGCGTGCCGGATGTATGTGAATATATTAGTAAACAAAAGTTTGGACATTCGTTGATTTTATGAGAGAGAAGCTTGAGAGTTAAATTATATCTTGAATATTCTGATGGTGAAGCTAGTAGAGGTTCTTTCAGATACACATTTTGCACGGAAGTTAGGAGCAACTTCTTGTTAGCGACTTTTACTGGAGCTTGACAAGGAAGCAAAAAAAATAAGGTTAGAACGCCTTCATTTTTTTGTTTATGCAACGCAGGCAGCCGTTGAGTAGGAATAGTTGCATGTAGAGAATAAGGCGTTTGGTACGTACTTAACGTTCGTCAGCCAATCTACTTGAAAAGACGAAGCTGTCTCGTTATATTACTGCTCTTTATCAGAGAGACTTCCTTAAAATACCTTTTTAAATTAAATAACTATAGCGCATTGATCAATTTATTAACCAATTGAAATTCAATTAAGCAATTTGGACTCATTCTTTTCACTTGGAAAATATCAAGTTTCTCTGAAACGCATAAAAATTCATTATAATTCTTCACAAAAACAAATTTAAAGTAACTATGTCTCAATGACTCAATTAGCTCACCGAGAAAAGGAAAATTATGAAAAATGTATAGCATCTCCTACTGATACGAATATTAATATTCGTTTTAATTATTTTTTTCATTTGATTCAGTGGAATCAAATTCCTCAATAATTAATGAAGAAAAATCATTCAAATGTTTGAATGGGGAAACCGATCACTAGCTTATGTGAATCGATGTATCAATACGAAACCTATCGATTAAATTTCACTGATACTTGCATTGAATCTGATCAGATCGTCAGTTTTTACACCAATTGAATTAAACTAATGAATTTTAGAAGGGCAAAATTTTTATGAAAATTTAAAATTGTTTTCGCTAACGGCGTGGACATTTTTCAGAGTACATTAGAGGTCAAGTGAAGCTGGACCAGATCTTCCGGGGCTGCGCCCAGTCTCCGGTGAGCCTGATCGTGCGTCGGACGCCCACCGACGACAACTACCAGGTCATCGCCAAGCACGACCCGCGCCACAAGCCGGCCACCTACAAGCCCACCAACACCTGCACCACCCCGCCCGTCCCCAAGTACACCGAGGGCTTCTACAACCCCTTCAACGAGTTCGCCGACGTCAACCAAAGCATGATCTCCGGCGAGCTCGTCCAGAACAAGCTCTTCTCCGAGGCCTTCGAGCACAACATCGAGGCCAACTCCCGCGTCATCGAGACGCAACCCGTCCCCGACATGGTTGAGATCTCCGCGGAGGTCCGCGAGATAGAGACCACCGTAGTCATGGTCGACGAACCCCAGCCGGAGCCCGAGCCGCAGCCCATGAAGTACGACCTCCCCCGGAACTTCGTGCCCTCCACCCTCGAAAACTGTATCAACCCCATTCACAAACCCCAGCCGGAGAAGGCGGACAGCCCTCTCCACCTGTACGAGAAGACACAGGCGAAGGTTCTCGAAATAGAGACCACCTACCAACCTCCACTCCAGGCTCAACCATCACAGTTCTCGCCGCCGTCGCAACCATCATACGTACCACAGCCATCACAGGTACCACAGCCATCACAAGTGCCACAACCAGCACAAGTACCACAGCCATCACAAACATCTCAATGTTCCTACTCACAGCAGTCCTCCGAGCCCTCGCTTGAAACACGCATGCTGAGACAAGTCCCAGAGTCACGGAACAGTCCGTTGTCGCTATATGAGAGGACAACCGCGAAAGTTTTAGCGATGGAAAGCAAGTACACACCACCTCAGGCTGTGGCTCAAAAACCGACGAATCAACAACAGGTAGTTCAAAGCGCGCCACGGACAGAAGCCAGAGACAGTCCGTTGCACTTGTACGAGAAGACCAACGCCAAGGTTTTAAACATGGAGCTGGAGTACAACAATCGACAGCAGCAGCCGCGTCAAGAGCAGCAACAGCAGATGTGTTGTATACGTCAAAGCGCCCCTCCGAAGCAACAGAGCGCACAACCCGCGCAACGACAGCCTCCACAACAAGGTTACGAAGCGACGGTGAAATCGTCAACGACAACCCAGTTCGACGCCCGCAACAGCCCGCTACACCTATACGAGCGCACAACCGCGATGGTTTTGGACTTGGGGAGTAAGTGGCATCCATCTGTTACCCAAAACCAGTCCTGTCCACGACCCGCGGCCAATCACGAAGGGGCGCAAAACGTCATTCAAATGAAGTCCTGTCCACGACCAGCGGCCAATCATGAAGGGGCACAAAACGTCATTCAAATGAGCTACGAGCAAACTTTCCAGAACCCCGGTCAATTCCAACCCCAACAACCGAGTTTCCAGGCTCAACCGAACCGACCAAATTACCAGAACCCCCAGCCTCAAGTGAACTTGTACCAACCCGCGTTCCAGCCCCCGGCCAATCAGAACGCCGGATGCTTCCCGCATTCGGTCCAGACGAGCTTCCAGACGTACCAGAACCCCCAGTTTCAGGGCGCTCAGAACCCGAACGCGAACGTCCAACAAACATGGTCCTCGAACGGAGCCGGCAACAGCTCTTACATCAGCAGCACGATCCAACTGGACCCCCAGCAGCAAGCGGGGCAACCGCTCGTCATCAGCTGCCACCTGGAGGAGCGCCGCGAGATCCAGAAGCGCCCGCAGTCCATCGCCGCCGACGAGGAGGTCCAGAACCTCTGCGAGAAGCAGTTCGTGTCCGCCTACTACCACAACACCGAGGAGGTCGTCTACAACGGCCGGGTCTCCATCGAGACGGGGAGCGTCTACACGCCCAACGACCTCACCAGCTTCTCCAAGGCGCAACCCTCAGCCGAGGCCGGAGTCAAGAAGCCGGCCGTCTACGTGCCCAAAGCAACCCCTCCGAACCACTTCATGGTGAACGCCGACCCGCGGCACATGGCCTCGCCTAAGAGGGAGCCGCCGCCCAGTTACGGCACGCCGAATCAATTAGATCTGTCGTACTCCCAGTCGGAGACGGATGAAGATGGCGAGCCCTACCACAAGATCCCTGTCAAGAACCTCATCAGCACCTTCGAGCAGAGCGCGCGTCCCATCATGCGCTACAAGCAGCTCCAAGAGCAGCTCCCTATCCCTGGACACCAGAGGAGCGCCGACCATCAGGACACCGATCCAAACGCTGAGGGCGAGGCTGTTCGGGAGGAGGGATTCCAACCCTACCAGCCGGACGTCAACAGCAATTACATTAGGAATGACGCTAACCAGCAGCATTCGAACCAAAGCGCATCCGATTCTCAGGGAGATGGTGGCGTCCACGCGAGCAATGTGGGAAGCAATCAGATTGGGATCGGGGCTATCGAGCAGCATTCGATTCAGCCGATTGTAGCGCCGAACCAAACCGCTTACGATTCGCGACGGGATGATAGTGTTTGCGCCGGCAATACTGCGCAGGAGCCGAAAACTTTTGTGGCGGAGAAATTGATAGAGATTCCCGATCCGATACCTATCAAGCAGCTTATCGACACATTTGAGCATAGCGCGGTTCAGCAAAGCGGACTCAATAGAGTTGGGGCACTCCAAAACGGGGCACAGCAAAACGGGGCACAGCAAAACGGGGCACAGCAAAGCGGGGCACACCAAAACGGGGCACAGCAAAATGGGGCACAGCAATACGGGACACAGCAAAGTGGGCTTCAGCAAAACGGGGCACAGCAAAGCGGGCTTCAGCAAAACGGTGTCCAGCAAGGCGGGGCTGATCAAAGCGGGGCTCAGCAAAGCGGAGAGTCTGCTGTTGAGCCGTTTCCGCCACCAGGCAAGATTACCTTTCCATGCATCCAGTGACCCCTGTGAATGATGCAACCGACGGGGAGTTAGTGCCCTGCTTAACACGACTGAAATCTGTCTTACTGCAGGGGACTCCTGACCGTACCTACTTACAAAGCATGGAGCGAACGATTTTGAAACCCAACCTCCGTTTTGCGAAAGGCCTTGACAATGTACATATATATGTTTGTTCATCTCGTTGGGATCATGTCTCATCTGTAGTAATTTCATGAGCAGTGCATGTATAGATTAGGTCGTTTTGGTAAGATTGATGGGTTTTATGATTTAATCCCTCTAAGTTTGTCAGTGTTATTATTTGCTCGGATGTTTGGTTTTGTGTTCGTGTCCTCTCTGTGTTTAATTCCTTTTGGTATCGTAACTGTTTTGAAACTCTAAGTATATACCTAAAAGTAGCTGACTTAACGGGTGCATCGCACGTTTCATGTTACTCTCAGAGAACATTTCTTGATTTAGAGTAACCTATCCCTCGTTGTATTGAAAATCACTGCAATTGAATTCCAAACTTAATTCCTTAAACTCAGTTTGGTCCTTTATATGTATTTTTACTCACATGTTGTCTCCTCTTTTTACTCTCAAGTTCTTAAAGTTTTTATAAAAGAAATCAAAGATTTCGAGAATTTTTTTGGTGTCTAATTTCTGTATCACGAAAAAAATTCTTTCAGCGGTTTGTGCGTGACGTTTTCGTTAACTCTCTTTTAAAAAGTGGAGTAAAAGAAGACAAAAATGATTTAAGGAAAAATTTTTGCGAGGTATTCTACAGTGTGAGGTTCACTTAGTAATGAGCCCAAAGGAAGGAGTGAAGGGGGCAACCCTTATTCGGTTACTATATGGGTTGTGCCACGAATTATGAGAGACCTGTGCAATTTTTTAGGGCGTTTTTGAATGAAATTTGCTGAGACTAAACGTTTTTCGGAAACGGAGTGAATTGATCCCTAGCATTTTTTCGTGACCATTTCTATTTTTTAATGCCAAATGTTTTTATCGGTGATAATATCAAAAGACTTTTAGTCTCTGTTGTTTCAGCAAACCTTAAGGAGAGTAAAAAGAAAGAGAGCAATAAAGAGAGAGAAAAAGGGTGGGAGAGAATAATCACTTTTTGGACCCAACCACTTTTCCTTCCTCCACCGTCTGGGGTAGATAGATTCTTCCTCTAATTCCATCGCGTATGAAAAAATCCACTCCCACGAACTCATTTGACTGAACCAAAATTTCTGAATCCTCAGTTGAATATCGACGGTGTAAGTCGGCAATCATATAGCTCGGTTTGCATCCTCGCAGACATCCTGTCATACCCCTGGTAAAAATTGGCAATAGGAGCTGCGTTTCAAAATACCATAGGAGTTTTTATAGCCGACTGAAGAAGGCGATAGAAAATCATATAGCTGGCTGTAGAAAGTGGAAAAAATCATACGGCCGGGCTACACGAAGCGATAAAAAATTATGCAGCCGGGCTAAAGTTGCAATCGCCGGGCTTTACACTTTATCGCCTGGCTGTTGCTTTTTCGCCATCGGCTATAAAAGGCTACAAGAAATTGTGTAGAAACTCGTGTGCTTTGTAAATCCTTAAGTTTGTACGAAATTATCTTAATATTTACAAAACGCACTTTATATTTTCCTTTACTACATATTTTTTTTCATCAACTAAAATGAGAATAATCCATACAGAGGGTGCAAACATTTCAAAGTCATGAGTTTAAAAACGCTGACTCCACGAGATTAAATATTAGAGCCTTACACAAAGCGGAGCGGCGGCGCACTGGCGCCTACAAACCTAACAGGGATACTTCACGCATTACGCAATGCGTGAAGTATCCCTGTTAGGTTTGTAGGCGCCAATGCGCGTCTCGCGCTGGCTGCCCGCCCGCCGCGCCGCTGCGTACCACGGCGCTTGTAGCAACTATTTCACACCAGATGTATTGCACAGTATCATACGAAATTGAAGGCGCTTCAACATACTAGGAATGGCAGGCATCCTTCAAAAGTACGGAGCTTTACCTGCAAAATAAATCAAGATACTACGGCCCAAAAAGAGAGCAGTGGTCCAAAAACTCAGTAAGTCCTAGCATTCGTAAATATTGACGTTTAGCATACACCTTATCGCCTGGCTGTGAGTTGCTTAGCAGCCATCGGCTATAAAAGGCTATAAGAAATTGTGTAGCCGGCTATAGAGGCTATTGGAAATCTTACAGCCGGCCGTAGGTCTATGGTATTTTGGAGCACAGATTCTACTGTCAATTTTTACCAGGGTTCTCTGGTCATTTTACTGGGGACTAGCTTGGTTTCAGTCCGATCGGGGAGGTTCGCTTTTCACACCGAAATTTCAATGCATGTAACCCCTGTTTATTTTTATAGGAGCTATTGGAATTCTTACAGCCGGCTGTAGGTCTATGGTATTTTGGAACACAGATTCTACTGCCAATTTTTACCAGGGACTTTATTTTTTAAACGGAAAACTGTACTCAACAGCAATTCTTTAAAACTGCGCCCTGATTTTTCTCCTCTGAGCGAAGAAAATTCTGCATAAACTTCAAGGATTGATGTCAACTTGTTCTCCTTTAAAAAAATAACGCAGAGGTGGAGATTTTCAGACACCGCAAATGAGTTATGTGATTGCTAACTCACACCGTCGATATGTACCAGTAATAAAGCATACCTCAATAGATAGATATAATGATGAAAGTTCAAATGTTTTTGTAAGTTGTTTTATCGGTTTGCAGTAGAGAGGCTTTCTACAAGTTTTCGCCAGTTTTCTAAAAATAGTTCATTTTTGTTTTCAGTTGTGGCTACATGTAATTGGGACAAGCCTCCCAAGTGGCTGAGCATGACCTTCCAAGATTACTCCAGCATGAAGACGTACAACACCGCCGCACGGGGCTGGGCCCCGAAAATGGACTACTACAGGCCGGTTCTAGTCAACGGAAATCAGCACTCTCAAGCCGCTTACACCGACTTCTAAACCCGCGACTTGCGAGCTTTTTGACTTTTTTCAAGCTATTTCCCATAGTAAGAAAGTCAACAAACTCCTCTCGTTGAAATGCTTGGTGACTCTGTCCCTAAAAGCTTCCTGAAGAAGATCGACCCTTTCATGCCCATCATGATAAATAATGCTTTCTGCATCAAACAGCAGTACTTACTGCGTTCTGCTTGTGCAAAAAAACTGGTTGTGAACAATTTAAATTGGCACGATCAAAGTATCTCTACTTTCCAGACAAGATATGATTTTTTGTGGAAAATAATAATAAGAATTGTAATTTTAATAAATTGTCGTGTATTCGATGTAACAAGGTCTTCTATCATTTTGATTATTATTCGTACATGCACCAGGGGCAAACAGCATTATCTCGCGATTAAGTAGCTATCTGGCTTGCTAGTTTTCTGTGCACAGGTTTGTACCTGACTCGATCTCACAGGCAAGTTCCAAAGCGACCGAGTTTCTTATTAGATGCAGTTCCGGTAAAATATGAGGAAAAATGAAAGAAAAAGACAGGTTTGAAATACTAACTCGACCAACGAGAAACAATCATGCAGCTATTAGAGCATTAAAATTTTGAACTCAAAGCCCAGGCATTTGAGATTAGGTACATTAATATCACGTAGTTATTCTTCAGAAGACAGTCACCTTGTCATTTTTCCTTTGATGCGAATAGGTAGGCACCCTGGCACCTACATTTTAGTTCAAATTTGATTTCATGTCACTGATTTTGGTCGATACCCTGGCATGATATATATCAAATCTAGGAGCAGTTGCGGAGGCATGGATTTTCTGTGTAGGTATCATGAATAAATCTAAATCTAAAGTCAGGGCCGGGTTTACCTACTTGCCACCCATGGGCCGCCTGTATTTTGCCGCCCCCTTCTCATTCGTTTCGAAATAGGTATCAATAAAAACCATCAAGTGAACGTGCCGTAGGGGGAGGGGTGCATAAGACGCGTTTACCTACTCGTGTTGAATACATTTTTTGCGAAAGCCCTGTCAACACTCCTAGCAAAATTTCACGGAACTTTGCGCGAAAGTTAAGTTCCGTAAACATATCTCTGTGTGAACATGGTCCACCATTTATAAAAAATGAACCAAAAATTGAAAGAACAAACATAAATGTGGTTTAATAATTTTAACTTCCGCCGCTGCGCCGCGCCGGACTGATCGCACTATGTTTGGCGCAATGCGTGAAGTATTCCTGCAGTCTCGTAGGCGCTACGCGTTTCACGCCAACCGCTCCTGACCGCACTGTGTTTGACGCAATGGGTGAAGTATTCATGCAGTCTTGTAGGCGCTAATATGTGTTAAATGTTGACCGCCGTGCCAAGGGCTTGTCCTTCTCATCTCAAGTCCTCGTCATCATTCCTCTCTGCGCTGAGCTCCAGGCCAAATTGCGTGTTTAATTCCTCTCTTGACTCGACTTATTAAAGATGCTGGATCTTTTATCACCGAAAAACGATAAAATTAGAAATTATTATACTCTCAGGGAAGAGAGATTTTGTCCCCTTTTCTCATTGATAATTTTTTTCTGAATCCGATTTTTTTTATACCTACATTTAAAAAAATTTCAAAATTTGCCGCTATGGGCCGCGGCCCATGTGGCCTTAATCCGGCCCTGGTACCTATCAGGTGCTACGTAGACTAGATCGAAGCCTCCGGACCACGCGGAATCGATTCCACGCCTCATTTACATTGGAATTGTAACTTATCTCAAAATATTATTTCTCGTCCAAAATCAAGAAAAATAGACAGGGGTTACATGCATTGAAATTTCGGTGTGAAAAGCAAACCTCCCCGATCGGACTGAAACCAAGCTAGTCCCCAGTAAAATGACCAGAGAACCCTGGTAAAAATTGGCAGTAGAATCTGTGTTCCAAAATACCATAGACCTACGGCTGGCTGAAAAATTTCCAATAGCCTCTATAGCCAGCTACACAATTTCTTATAGCCTTTTATAGCCGATGGCTGCTAAGCAACTCACAGCCTGGCGATAAAGTGTATGCTAAACGTCAATATTTACGAATGCTAGGACTAAGTGAGTTTTTGGACCACTGCTCTCTTTTTGGGCCGTAGTATCTTGATTTATTTTGCGAGGAAAGCTCCGTACTTTTGATGGATGCCTGCCATTCCTACTATATTAGGGCGCCTTCAGTTTCGTATGATACTGTGCAATATGCAATACCTCTGGTGTGAAAAAGTTGCTTCAAGCGCCGTGGCACGCTGTGGTGCGGCAGGCCGGCAACTAGCGCAAAACGCACATCGGCGCCTACAAACCTAACAGGGATACTACACGCGTTGCGCAATGCGTGAAGTATCCCTGTTAGGTTTGTAGGCGCCAGTGCGTCGCCGCTCCGCTTTGTGTTAGGCTCTAATATTTAATCTGGCGGAGTCAGCGTTATTCAACTCATGATTTTGAAACTTTTGCACATCCTGTATGGATTATTCTCGTTTTAATTGATAAAAAAAATATGTATTAAAGGAAAATATAACGAGTGTTTTGTAAATATTAAGGTGGTTCCGTATCAAACTTAATGATTTCCAAAGCACACGAATTTCTACACAATTTCTTATAGCCTTTCATAATCGATGGCGAAAAAGCAACAGCCAGGCGATAAAGTGTAAAGCCCGGCTATAGGAAGTATAGCCCGGCTGCATAATTTTTTATCGCTTCGTATAGCCTGGCCGTATGATTTTCTCCGCACTCTACAGCCAGCTATATGATTTTCTGTAGCCTTCTTTAGCCGGCTATAAGAATTTCTATGGTATTTTGAAACGCAGCTCTTATCGCCAATTTTTACCAGGGAAGTCAGGTTTTCTCGTCTAAAAAGCTTAAGTCCGCTGGTTTGCGTGATTGGCAAAGACCGTAGCTTTGGTAAACTTTCAAAAACTGGTCCCGATCCTGGGAACCAGCGGATTCGTAAAGCTTTATGGGAAAACTTCCGAGATAATAGTCGAATCCTACGTGGTTGAAGGAGCAGAATCGATTGCGCATGGTCCCCAGGCTTTACGAGCTTGAAAAAAAAAATAATTATTTTTTTTGACCGTTTGGTTAAAGTTCACAAACGGCGCGTTTTTCGCGGACAGCGCAAAACCGCAGACTCGCTTGTTGGACTAAAGATTCGCACTCAGCGGATCATTGCAAGGTACAGGACATTTTTCGCGATTATAGTTGAATCCTACGTAGTTGAAGGCGCTGAATTTGTTGAATATGGTACCAAGGCTCTCCGAAGTCGAGAAACTGTCAAAAACACCCGTTTTGGACAATTTTGAATGTCTGAAAATATGCCGATGTGAGGACGGGTCGTCTCTTAGACCAGAAATTCAAAACGAGTGTTTCGAAAACGTCATCAAATATGTGTTTTCGTTGACTTCATGGACTAAGGGACTCGTGGAGCTTCTTAGAGTTTAATTATATTGATCGAGAGAAGGAATCAATACAACTGAATTCCTTTTTTATGACTTTTGATTTCACTGAATCTCAAATGAAACATACCTGAGCATGCAGATATGGTATACCTATCAATGACTAAATGCAAAAAATGCCTATTCACCATATTATGTTTTATTTTCTCTGAGGAAAACAATCAAAATTATTCCCTAGAATTTTTTTTTTTATTTGTGGTTTTTATGCTGAAACGAATGGCGAAAATTCACAGATAATTACTTTAAAAACAGTTTGCTTGTTTTTCTTTACAAAAATAAGACGTGATAAGAAGGCGTAGAATGTCCCAATCTGAAATATGCACTATTCTACTTTAAGCATCGATTCGTTAGTGAATATATATTAAGTGTATAGTCTGGAAATTTTTGGTGCTATTAGGTATGTTAAACGGGTTCTTAAACATATCAGATTCTTCGATGGATAAAAAGTGATATTTGGTTTTGATTTCAGGAGAATTAAGAGTGCACAGACAAAAACAGAGCTCAAGTTAAGTAATAAACTTTATTCAAATGAAAATAACAATTTTTCAACTTAGTATTTTTAATTACTAACATAAAAATAAGAGAAGAAAACTGATTTTACATTCTTATTGAAAATACCATCATTTTAATATAAGTGCTAAGGTCAATCTGTAGTTGAAATAACGTTAGGTGATTAGGGCCTATATATTTTCAGGTTGGCATTTGACATCAAAATGCCACTTTCGTTGAATAGTTGACAATCAAATGATATCCATTAAAAAATGCCCAAAAATTGTAACAAAGAGCTGGATTCATATGAATACTGGTAGAATGGTATTAGCTATTTTTTGTTAATTACAGAGACTGTGTTTTAGTCCTTGACCAAAATTGGAGATAGAGAGACTGTGTGCTTAGGATAGTAAGTTAAATTTATTATTGAACAGTTTGAGTAAAATTTGACCAAATGTAAAAATCCTAAGTTGAAGAGAAAAGACATTTTTAAATTTTTAAACATGAGCACGAGAGCTACTAAAATTAAACAGAATAAAAAAAGTAACTATACAGTTTGAAACTTAAATAAATAAATGGATAAATTAAAAATAAATAAAAAGAGTTTAAGCTAACAAAATCAATATAAAATTTACACATCATTTAGAACAAGTCACTAAAATCTATTTGTTACATATATATTCAGTTTGTCGATTCTATTTCCAGTATAATTAACAATTATACTGCTACAACTATAGAAAATATTGAGCTAAACTCTTAAATTATTCATTTTTTGAACAATAAAGATTCTATACGAGACTCTAATAGAACTGAAAGAAGTGCTTGGAGAAAAATCATACTATCATGGAGGACAAATCTGATCTGCTTCATGCTTCTGGCAATAGTTTTAAAATAAATTTTGGTAAGTAAACTTAAACTGGAGAGCTAAATACAAGAGAGAGAATAGCAAATAGACAAAAGAGAATGTTAAAAAATTTAAGAAATAGCAAAAAGTAATGCAAAGTAATGAATAAAATTAATGGGAGAGATCAGAATTTTTTCTGTTACTATGTCGGCAGAGACTAATCCCATTTGCTTGACAATGTCTCCGTAGGCAGACTCATGACTTTAAGCTTTTAAGAATTGACTGTTACGTTAAATTTCCTGAGCAAGCTGGCAATACAGCTAAATGAAACAGAGCAAAAAATTGAAACAGAAAATGGAATAAAATCAAAACTAAGGTTTCCGAAACAATGATGTACAAAACATGAGCACTCCATACAGTTCTACAGAGAAAATAATGATAAAATTCCTTTTTTCAAATGTTTGGAGGAATATAAAACAATTTGAAAACAAAGAAGAATAGATATCCACAACTCATGGACAAAAATGTGATGCTGAATAAAAAATAAGAATAGATATCGATGGTAATTTACTTTTTATGTGAGGCAACTGAAACCGACCAATTAAAGAAAAAAAGGTCGACTGAGATTCAAGTTTATGGTGCCACAGGAACAGATTCAATTACTTACACAAACTATGGATAGTCAGAAGATAATTTACAACAAAAATTCAATGTTGCTCTTCAGTATATTGAAAAACGAAAAGAACAAATTAAAGTATTTAAAGCGTTTTATTTTTTTTCCTTCAATAAAATTCTTACAGTAGTTGAACATGCTGGGACATACTTTCAATATCGAGTATTGAATGATGACACACTGAATTCTACAATCGCCAAGAGAACAAGGTAGTACTTATTGCAATCAAATTATGGGTCAATTAAAGATTTATTTATTCATTTTTTTTTGTCTCGAACAAATTGGGAATCAAGTGCTGACATGAAAATCTAACGATCAATTAGAATAACAAATAGAATTTTTCTCCTTTTATAATTAGTACATAAATGGTTTTTATTGATACAATAAAAATCACATTAGAACTGAGGGATGGCCAAAATGTATTCACCAGTGGGGCTAAAGTTTCCATCATATAAATAGTAAGCGAATAAATTGTTCTACTCCTCTTATCGTTACTTAGAAAAGATTGCTCAAAATATTTTTTTGCACTTTAGCAGACCTGCTATTATAAAGTCGCTTTGTAGCTCATAATTTTGTGATTGTTAGCATGCTAAAATTAAGGTGGGATTAAAAATGTACCTTGAGCAATATTTAGAGGCATACCGATAATCTGAGTGTGAAAAAGGTCTATTTTTATTGAACCCAATTAAAAAATTACCAATCAAGAATTTGTTATAGTTGTCAACTAACTGGCTGTTTTTCTGTTAAAAAACTGCATTTAAATAATTACACTTGGCTTTCTAAGATGTTTAAGAAAAATGATCAATATCGAACAGTATAATCAACTCTATTGATAATTAATCTCTCTACTTCATCTGTCAATGAAGGATAATAATTTTGGGTTTCAGGGATACGCACACGTTTTTCCCTCTTGCTAAAAAATAATCTGATTTTATACTAACACCACAGTCAGTCACTCAAAAAATTCAAGCCATGAAAAACTGACATAAAAATGACTATGATCAAAATATCAGGAAATGCACCACTAAGACCTCTAGATGACACCTGCTTTTCTACCCAAAAAATTTTACTGGAAAAACCCCTTGTGATGATGAGGACATTGATGCGTTTCTGAAAATGTCAATACATGCATTTAAAAATCACAGAAATTATGAGCTAATTCAGGTCTATAGATCACTTTAAGTGGAAACTTGAGGTTTTTCATGATGTCAAGGGGTCTGTAATCACCGGCTGAATACAAGGAATTGCTGAGGACATATTAAAAAAATTAACAACAAAATAAAATGATTTCAATCTTGTTTGAAGTCAAACTTCAATAAATAATATTTTGGATAATAAAAACGTTGCATATATCACATATGTACATGAGTAAATTTTTTATAATTTTATGATACAATTTTCAAATTCGTATTTCATATCGTAGCTAGTGCATTGAGTCTACTTGGAGACTTATTTTATTTATAGAAAATGTTCACTATTAACATATGGTACAAAAAATGCTTCGCAGAAGGTCATTAATTGCCAAGTTTTTTCATGGGGTCAGGAAGCAGTCAAAATGTTGAGCCAGACATTTTTCTTGAAAAACTTATGAAAGGATTCTTAAACTTTACTCAGTTCTGAAGATATATCTTAAAAACACAGACTTTTTACGCAAAAATGAAGAAAAAATACACTAATTTGTTTGACCTTGAAGAGTGCAAAACTGAAGGAGCAGAGCTAAATTTAGAAGAGAGATAGATGATTTCTAACAGTTGTAAATATTCAAGAGATTTTAAATGTAATTACATATTATTTGCACCAGAGGAGAGTTCAAGGACTAAATATTTACACACATGATTATGCCAAGAGAATTTTATTTGCGTACCATAGGTTTTAAAGACAATGGGTCTCATGCTATTAGGTGCTCTTCTGTAGTGCATTGTTGCTATGATGATGAAGATGAGAAGAAGATAAGAGATGTACTGTTTCCGCATGCTGCAACCATCTTTATTTCTGAATACAAACGGACTAATATATTCGGTAGTAACTAGGTAGGTAGGTACTGGTAAATGGCATGATATTTCTAGTGATTATGAATGTTAGGAGATACTTAAGAGCAAATATAAAAAATTTCTCAGTTAAAAACAATATTGCTTTTAAAAAAAATTGCGGAAAATAAATTTTTGAAATTCTTGTCGACATAGGACAAATATCTGCATTGAGGGAATTAAAATATACATCAGTGGCTGCAATGGGTGGAGAGAGTAGTCAAATGAGCTACCGCATAAAACCGGATGTTTATCGTTGATCATTCAAAAAGCAGCTCTCTGGGCGTACAGAGTATTTGTTCACAACATAAGACTTTAAGTAGGTATTCAACCTTACCAGACTTAAATGATGATACTTTATTTAGAATTATAGCAGTTGGGATGGTAAGCGCAATATTTTGATGGTTGTTACTGGATGTAGTTATGGTTTGATATATTTTTTCATTGGTTGGTTTCTGTTTTGTTGCTAGAGACCTATTCACAGGATTAAACCATTTCAGAGCTAGATTTGACAAGATTTGAAGTTTTAGGTTTGTATACAGAGAGAAAAAAAATAAGAGAGAAAAAAAAACCCATGGAATAATCTTAAAACAAAGACAAATCAAGTGCAGTGAAATACAACAAACTTATACAGAACATAAACAGGCAATTACATACACGAACGTAAAATTAATGAACACAAAAAAATACATTGTCAAAACAAAAGAACTAATTTTATGGAGATAGGAGCTACAATTAACTTTCATCATGCATACTTTGATAATGTAATACTAAAACCAATTTAACCAGTCGACACACAAGTGGCGGGGATTGAAAATAAAATATGAGATAAGAGGGGCTAAATAAATAAAATTAGAGTAAGAGATCACATAATTGCCAAAGCTTGTTTCCTCAGAAAAAGCGTTCCTTATTTCCAACAAAAGTATGAGTCGAAATGTTCCATTTTTCAGGAATCGATGAAGAAAAGCACGTCAAAATAACTTTGAATCTTGCACCATTATCCATTGCATGACACTGATCCAACTAGAATAATGTAAATCTATCACAACAAACAATCTGATTAATAATGCCGTGCTGAAGAAGAACGCTGTATGAACATTTGAGAGTTGCCAAACTTCCCTGAATTAAACATGTATTTTTGAGGAAAGAAATGTAAATATTTCCCGGAAATTTTCATGTGCTTTATATTACATTACAAACAAGATTGCCTGAAAGTTTGAAGGAAAACATTCACCATTTTTGCAGTAAAATCGTTTTTATTTAAGAAAATACAGCAGTGTCTGAAGGCTCATACGGCGTTCTTCCTTAGCTCGGCAAGATGGCTCTAACTACTTGATCGATGCCACACAGTGGAGCGGCCCATAAGAAGAAGACATGAAGACATCATGTAGAAATCCAAGAGTTTATGTCTCTGTTGATACAAGACATGAAGGTTTAAAAGGGGCTCCATTGGTTTTCCTGTAAAATTTTCATCATAAAGCACTCCTTCAAACTTATAGTGTCTCGAAAAAATCATCAAAACTTGCAGTTTTAGTCAAAAATTTCAAGTCCGACTTCTCCCGGTAGCTCATTCCTTTGAAAACCAGAGCATTTCAAGCTCATCACGATGAATTCTTCTTCATGGGAAAGGTAGGAATGCACATTCTTTGGAAACGAGGTAGTTAAAAAAAAGAAAGAAAAACAAAAACTTGCCTCTAGGAGGAGTTTGTTTGCACTTCAATTAAAAAGAAAGGATACTTTCTTATAGTGAAAATTAACCGAGATTAAGAATTATAGAAGTCACAGACTAGAGGAGGTATCAAGCCTGCCATGTTTTCCTAGCCTCACAGGGGACAAATATCAAAAAATTTGATGCAATGATCCTTTAAAAATATTAACTTAAGCAAAGCAACAATATATTGTATGATTTTAAACATTCTTTCGTTTTCTAGATAAAATTGATACAAAAAAGAAGTCACCGGTAAAGCTAGGTTAGTTTCCATTGGTAAAACGGAACAATTAAATTGTTGCTTGCCTCAGAGTTTGATTTCTTGCTTCTATGTGAGATACCTACGTGATAAAATTATAAATATTTTCCTTTTTACTTACTTTTCACTGATTAAACAAAAATAAATAAAAATAAAAAATCCATGGTAGGATAAAGGGCTTGACTAAAGTCACTTCAGGGTTTAAAGCATTTTTCATACTGGAGATGAAAGACTTGTATTCTACGCAAGTTCTGGCTGACCTTTGATTTCGCAGCTCAAAAGATTCCTACATTTTCTGGTTTCACTTTTTAATCTCCATGAGAGATACATGCCTGCATTCTCTAAACAGGGGACTAATTTTCACCGATAAATCATTAAGTGATTTTTAATAATTGCTTACATGATTCGTTTTGATACAGTTTCAGCTCACTACTCCGGTCCAGCTTGGACTACTAAATCCTTTGCATTCACAACAGTTTTTACTTGAGTACACTGATCACAAAAATTCGTACAAAATGGCAGGAGGTAGGGATTTCAAAGGGTGGGATTAAAACAGTCATAAATTATTCTAACAAATAAAGTCTCATCATAAATGGTCAATTTGAAAATGACCACTAAAAGAGGTCCTTTTCGCACTGAAACACGTTCTTAATTTTCTTGCTGGCTCCGGTAACACAAAACATGTCGTCCTCTCCTCCACCAAGGAACGTATCTCGTAAAGACTAATTCAGTAATTCTATCAACATTTTATTTTTACGTGGGAGAGCCTTTGGACAAATTAATGTACAAATTTCAGAGTCTTCTTTTACATAGGTAAAGAAAACTTACTGGAAATATCAGGTGAATTCATGTGACGGTTCTCTTATGAACCAATAAAATGTAAGTAAGAAACACTGAGATAGCGCAATCAGGTTACGTTCCTTCATATAAGAGCCAATAATGTAATGGGACTATGAAAAATTTAAGGTTTCTGAAAATTTATCATCCGACTGATTGAAAATATAGGAAACGACAACAAGAAAGTCCGGGAGCATTATTCTAAGTTTGATTCAGCAAAATTACACTGTTAACTTTGAAGGTTCAACCACTCAAAAGATGTAATCCTCATCTTTACTTGCCTCTTAGTAATGATCATTTTCTGGCAGTGAAGAAATCAATTACGAATCAGTGGAAAGTCTGGCTTTTAACATTATTACTAATTACATCCTTTACTTATTACCAGTATGACACAATGATAGACGAATTGAGATCAACTAAAAGTTTAAAATAAAAATTAAATTATCCTTGCATCGGCAACAGTTTAGCTTTCGAGCATTTTGATTAAAAAGTTCACAATTTTCACAATGACCTATGTGAACGATTAAGTGTGCATTTACATTTCAAAACATAATCTTTCTTACATTATTTACAGAAGTTTGAGAGTATTTACAGAGTAACAAATTGAGAAAGGTAAATATGTACCTTCCTGATCCAGAGTAACTAAAAAAAGTTTGAGGGGGTTAAACCACTGGTATGCAAAAAAAAAAAAAGGTTTGGAACATCATTATTACCGCAAAACAGCTGGGAAAGTACTGCATCCTTGCTTGCGGAAACATAAATCCAGCAAATATTAAAATGACATTCCTGGCATAAATTGAAACTGGGTTCATTGAAACCACAGAGAAGAGACCAGTCTCACCTAATAATTAACTTTAAGGAGAGGTTCCGGTTGAAGAAAACCGTTTTACATTGACAACTTAACGCTTTAAAAAAGTATCAAAGCTTCAGTCAATTAACTGTGTGGAATTTATCGCACAGTAAATCTACTTACTTAATCAAGAAAGCGTTAGAACAGGCGAAACAAAACAGCTCAAAATCTTCAGGCTGATTGACAGTGGCAACCTGCTGATACAGAAAATACACAAAGCTAATACGGGTTCTTGGGGGAAATGGACAGTTACTCTCGGGCTCTGGAAAGATCAGTGAAAAAAATCAATTGATCCTTGATAAAAAATAAAGGCACCTCAACGAGTCACTTAAGAAAATCAACTTTCTAACAAGGTTGCAGCTTTAGACACTCTCCGAGAAAAATGTCATTTTCACTTTTTATGTGATTTTTCATGCTTCAAGTTTCAACTGGGGTACCTCAAAATATGCTCAAAGTAAGGATTAGAATGGTATGTTATGTAAGAAAATTATATTCTCAAGAAGATTTTGATGCATAAAAGAGATCCATAAAATAACATTGTTTTACTTTGGTAACAATCTCAGTACAAAATTGTCAAACTAATCTGGTAGTTCCCTGAACAGTCTTATAGTTGAATGATCAACATTTCTGCTACTAGCATGCACTTTCTAACTCTTCCAGCTGCAACCTTTTAGCTTGTCGTTTCTTAAAAGCGTAGAATTCTTCCTTCATCGCCTGAACTCTTGCCTCTATGTTCTCGTATCTTGAGCGTGTAAGCGGAGTTCGAGGACGCATTGTCATGGTAAGGTCAGTTGGAGTTGGGGAGGCAGGGAACACAGGGTCAAATTCATAGTGGTCATCAACACTTGGTGAAGGATGTACAATACTTGGTGTGATGTTGTAGTCAACCCACAACGTAGGCGGAGGAGCCGGAGGGGGTCTATATGGTGGGACTTTCCACTCTGCAATATTGGAGCTGCCTGTCTGTTGGGATGTATTTTTTGAACCAAATCCACTTGAACTTGATCGGCTTTCAGGGGATGCTTCTGTTGTCAACGCTGCTAACTCAGGAGCTGACCTTGAGTGCCTAACGTGCCTGGGTAGCAACTTAGACCTGTGTTTGTAGCCGCTAATTTGCCTTGGACTGTAGGAGGTTGTACTCAAAGTTCGCTGATTTTCTTCATGAATTGTACGAAGAGAGGGCAACTCTTGACTGTACTGTTCGTGGACGCTGCGCAGAGTCCGTTCTGCTGAGCTGGGCTGCCGTACTGAACTGAGGTCACTGAAGTAGAGCGGTGACCAAAATGGGGACATGACAGTCGAGGCCGGTGAGCTGGCACGGAATGGAGTTCCTGTGACTTTCGGTGGTGGGTGATGGTACATTATGGGAATGGTGGGATTCGGAATTGGGGTCTGGAAAACAGCCAGACTTTCTCCTGAGCCATCGGTTCGCAGGCTCAAATCTGAAGGATAGGCAACTAGAGGCCTGCGTCTCCAGATAGCACGCTCTCTGAAGTCCCGGAAACTGGGGCGGGACAAAAATCCTCCATCATCACTTGAACTGCTGATGCTGCTGGTTCTGGAGCTGGTTAGAACGAAGCGTCCATCTGCTGTGCGGGAAATTCTTCCGACACGCTTTTTTCCATCAAAGTTCCAGTCTTCATCTGGGTGTATACTAGAGTTAAACAGTCTTCTAATTACTTCTAAGCCTGGTACTCTGCTTTTCCTAAATCTGAAAAAAAATGTAAAAAAAAGCATAAACTGTCAATGTAAATAAGGCAAAAGCAAGAAAAAAGACTATTTCTTTCAATACAGCAGATAAAAGTTAACGAACAGAAAGTTTCAAACCTACCAACCTTTTCTAGAAATACTGCATTGTTAGTGGAGAGGATGTTTTCGGAAGGTATACAAATATGTCAATGCATAATTCTAGAGATTTTGAGAGAAAAAGGATAAGAACTCGCTTGAATTGTTTCAATTTGGGACAACCAAGGCTTATGGTAATTTATACTAGATGGAATCTTAAAAAAATAGTTAAAACAATCTGACTTTTTAGAAACGCCGAAAATTTGGACTGGTTGAAGAGAGACTATCTATTGTGAAGGGTATGATTTATTTCTGGAATATCAATGATTAAAGTTGAATCATGTCTACCTACAATTGCGACGTTATTAAATGGCACTTGTGTTTTATTTCATTTTGAAGAAAACTGACTGACATTTTTTCTTCAAATTTTTTCTGAATTTTCTCCACTTATTCAAAAATAATTTCAGGTAAATTTCCACAAAGATATTGTATTTTGATTACTTTTCTTTCGGTAAAGTAAGACGCGATCAAACATTTTGAGATGTTGCAATGGAGATTCATATTTCTCAACTATAGCCATTGATACGCTGCTCATTTAAAATTTCATTAAAATTTCTACAATCTCCACGCATGAGATATTCAAAGTATTAAAGTACTGATCTTTTTGATAGTCTTGCAATTAAGAAAACTTTTAAAACTTTACGAACTAAGTTGACAAAAGAGCAAAAACAATTTCGAAACAATCTCTTTCAAAAGAGGTAGATTTTTTAGAGAAATTAACAACTAGAAGAAGCAAATACTGTTTGAAACTAAGCACTCTAAATAGATCTTAAGGACTTCAAACTACAGAAAAATACTTAAAAAAGGTGAGGACTGAAGAGAAAATCATATGATAAAAAAGAATCAATTGATATACGATTGACTTTACCAAAACTTTAATTGAGGTCAAATAAAACTTTAAGGGCAAATCATGGAGCCAGTTCACTATTTGCAAGGGCATAAGACAATTATTGAATCTAGAAACAGTATATATGGCTTTTGAGAATATGTAAATAGTTTTTTTGCACTTAATTAAGATTTTAAGTACGAGGTTCGATATAGTGTCTTAACACAATGTTTCACTTGTGCCTTAAAGAAGACATAAAAAAGTGTCCTATCACTGGAAAAGCTTAAACTTACTTTCTTACATTGTTCCTCACACTCCAATTTAACCTTTGTAAAGAGTAAAATAAAAAATGCATATTTAGGTAGCCAAATGAAGGGCAAATTAATGAAAATAAACAGAAATACCTACGGCAAAATTTGATGTTAAGAGCTCGAATACATGCATTAGAGGAATCTACAAAAACAAAAAAACAGCATGCGAAGGAACATTTATAACTGCAGGTTAGTGGGAGTACCAATGCAATATAGAGAGAAGTGCGCCAATCAACAGCTTCCAAACTCTTCACCTGAGATCCTTGGGGAAAGAGACCAGCAAAAAAGAGAGAGAAAATTTCACGTTAGCCAAGAGAGGATTAGTTTACACCGATGATTAATGCCTACCACACTCTACAATGCTCTTCTCACACTATTTAGCAAAGCTAATTGAATATTCTAATGAATACTCAACAAATGTATTTGAAATCAAAATGCAGGGTCTGCACCACCCAGGGGAAATTCAAAGCTAGTAATCAGTAACCACAAGAATCAAAATCACAATTTCAAATTTTAACTTTTTCCAACGAGATGTCAATAAAAAAAGAGTGCACATCATGAAGTTAATTATGCACTAGGCAAAATTTTGGGAGTATCCCCGATGGAAAGTTTTAAATTTACTAAAAACGTCTCCTCCAACAAGTTTTGCTGCATGTTTACTTTATTTTTACTTTTGAGTTCACAGTCAACCTCTAGAAGTTGAACATCAAAAGTCTGGATAGAAATTAGTTTCACAAGGACAAATAATACGCCCAAAACATGTGAAAATAATTATTTTTTTATCAATAACGGACCAAGTGCCATGAGGTTGATTTCCAGTTACTCACTCTTTTATTTCTGGCAACTGCCATGGCATATAACTTTAATGCTGTCTTCCAGATGTTATGAGCACTCAATTTTCAATTTTTATGCACTTAGCCTGTTATTGATGATAGGTCTCCAAATATTGATGCTTGATTAGTAAAACATTTTGAGAATAATATATAGGCAAGCAATTTAGATTGTACAGAAACATAAATTGTTATTCTTCTCGTTTGTGAAAAGGTTGTGAGAAAATCATTCTTACATTTATTCTTAGGCTCAGCACCCTAGAGCCTCACAATAGTGGCAAAACAATGATTTGTCCTTGCAATGAATAAAGAGAGAGAGCATTGAAGAGAAAAATACCAAATAGCATAGACACTAAAGTTGGACATAAGTTAGGTAAGAGTGGACTTTAATTCCTTCGTGGTTGGAGAGGTCAAACAGAGGAATAATTTTAATAAATAAAGATGGAGAAAGGAAACACAGTCATGGTGATGTACAAAATGGATCTCAAAATAGAGGGGTATTCTTTACAAACAGTGCGAAACGAATTGGACGTTTTTTGTGTGGAAGATGGATCTCATTAGACAGCTTCACAGTCATCCAATGAACACACACAGGGAGGGTCATCTGTCTCATTCTATGGACCGTATGCTTATCACACTGATACCTCTAAATGTGACTATTCCTACTTTTAGTTGGTTTGCAAGAAATAATTAAAACTTTGCTGGAAAAGTTTGATAGATGTATCAGAGAATTGCTGCTTAAAAGTCATTACAGTTTTTAAGAACACCCCTTTAGTCGATTTGAAATGCATTTACAAACAGTTATAAATTAATTAAAAGAGAGAGAACAGGGAGAGCATGTTAGTTGGAGCCGTATTCCCTACCCATGAAATTATTTCTGATATCTTCATTGAAAGAAATTACGAAGAACAAGAGGGATCAAGTATTGCAATAACAAAAGTAAAAACCACGTTATCAGAGCCTCTGATGACCCTTTGGTTTAATTGCTACGAAGCAAGATGGCCTAATTTTGAAATGAAGTGAAAAATATCTCAAAATGTTTTAAGTGATGTGTGAGTATCTGATAGGCATGACAGTACAGTTGTGCTTCCAGCAAAAGAGCTGATTAACATTAGGAAGCAGTGTCTGTGAGAGTTTGCCTGATAAGTCAAAATTTTTGGTTCAGGTGCATTCAGTGGTCTGATTAGCTTAAAAGCTTTTGCAGAACTAAGTTCGTTGTTTCTAGGTACACAGAGTGAGGTGAGGTGAGGTACAATATGAGCTGACTTTAAAATTAACAGGCTTGAATGCAGGACTTGAGGTCTTAGTGCCAGATGTCCCTGAAAAATGCGAGGGGAGAAAGGGAGGGTGGTAAATGTTTGTAGTAAACAACATTTGGACCGCACTGCTAATTTCTTAATAAATGATTGAACGCATTACTAATTATGAAAGTTAAATTTGGAATGATTACTACACAAGATTCAGTGGTTAAAGTTGTAATGAAATAAATTTTATGAAATGTGTCATTTACTCCTGTGCTTTTTACACTGACTACTAACTATGTAAGATATCATGGCTTCGAGGCCTGATGTGGAAAAACCAATTAAGAACTAGAAAAAATGAATGACTAAATAAATGTTTGATTTAATCATTAATTCATTGTTTGATCCTGTAAAGTTGAATTTAAGTGCTATTGGTATAAAAATCATTTGATTTGGCTACACAAGGATGGCAGTAACACCACTTCACATCAAAATTTAAGTCTCTAATCTTTTCCCCCCATCTATTGTGGGCTAACATTTCTCTGGAATATTGTGGACAAAATCAAGAAGTGCTTAATTGAGGACAAGTAATGAATTTGACATTCATATCTAACTGTTCTATTCTTTTTACCTATTTATTATGTGCTAACATTCCTTAGGGAAATGACAGGCAAACTTAAAAAGTGTCCAAATAAAAGGGGTGAAGAATTTGACATCCGTGGCTAACTGTTCTGCAGTGATGAATACATGATTTGAGGGTATTTTGTTCAATCATTATTTTTGACAATGGATGGTGAGGTGCTATTATTTCTTGAGATTGAAAGGCGCCTTCATGGTGTCAAATGAGAAGGTTACTAAAATGCAGTTAAGAGACAAGCAGATGACAAATCATTTGAATCATCTCTAAAATTACGCAAGTCTTGTCGTTGACTACCAAGAGTCTCTCCGTGTTTTAATGAAAGCCAATGGAAGCAACAGCCTTGATATATTGAAGAAAATTTTGACAACACAGACTCTACACATTTCAAGTTTTAAACTTTAATCATAAAAAAGACCAGGAGAAAACCAGACAGTCTCTGAAACGATGGACTTGCGATAATTTTAGAATGATCAATTTCTTCTGTCCTGTGAAAGAAAGCAGCATTTACACACAGCAATGCTTCATGCCATCAAATTGAAAGTCAGATGGTGCCTGAGATTAGTTGTCAGGATAGCGATTAGAGAGGTTATTATTCAACCTGCATATTCAGCAGGTTTCTGGACAGACGAGTGGGATCAAGAAGAATTCAGGAAAAGGGAGTTTGCAGCTCTGCCGTTTACAGTGCGAACACTGTAACTCTACTCCAAATATTTCTTTTAATCTGGAGCGAGAAAATCAGAGCACTTTCTTGTATCTTTTGGAGGATACATAACATGTCGCTGAGATTTTTCATTAAAAATAAAAAGTGCAACAGTTGAAAGTAGATAAAGATTGCAAAAAAACAAATACATTTGGGAAACATTATGCAAAATCTGGAGTAGAGTTGCACCACTCATTCTAAAGATCTTACAACTAAAGCCATTCATGTATTCTGCAGGCTAGAATTTGGTTTTTGGTCACATGAAATCTTTTTACAGTGTATAAATTGGAGTCAAGAGAAAAAGCCTGATACCTCACCACAAATTGAGTCAGGTCAAAAATATTCAAAGGGTTTGCATTGAATGTCTTCGAATACAAACAAAAAGTCTACTTTGAATTTATCGATGGATCAATGTCAAGATATCCATGAAGATTGAAGAAGAACTGATGATTTTGGATGATACCACCTGAGATATTATTAAAACGGGGTATTTGAGGCATAGCGTTTTTCACCGTTTTTGCTATGTAAAGAGCTAGAATTCTCCGGGTAAAAAGAGATTGTACTACTGAAATTTACAACTTCTTGAAACAATGACTGTGCAAACAATAGCTACAAGGAAATGTGAGATTAGATTATCTAACTTTCAATCTGATGACAGAGGAATGAGTTAAACTTTTCCTCGAGGATGCTCATTTATTAAAAATGACTGATGATATAGATAAATAGTAAATATGAGATAATAATGCCAAGCAATGAAAATAAAAATTTGCCTGCTTACAGTTCGATGGTAACATATTTTTTCGCAGAGCTATGAAAAATCAAGGCTATAATCTCGATACGTGTGAGATTCAATGAGCCTACAAAGAGACAAAGCAACAATATTCGCTCAGTAAAGCACAAATTCATCTTGCGATAAATAATGTAAAACATTTTTCTTCATCTTCCATCATTTTAGTTTTTGGCGAGGAAGCATACGCCAATTGAAAGAATGAAAAAGAGAAAAAATCTGCAGAAAAACTTAAATAAAAATAACACTTCAGTTTTTCATGTTGTAGCTTTTAAAATATTTATGTTTCATTTTCCTTGCATGCTTTTAGCCCCTCGAGTGGCTTTATTACTGTGTAAGATAAAAAAGAGTCTAGAGATAATTCAGAAAAGCATCTGAACATAAGACTTCTCTGTATTAAACTTTACAATTCCATTGCATTAATGTCTACCTATTGTTGACTTCAAAGCACTTCGCAGAGATATTTACTCCCGTCTTTTTGAGAAAATACAAAAAGAACCATCTATTTGCTTACACATGATAATGGCATTCAGAAATTATTTTTGTGAACTAAAACGTTCATCTGGGATTAAATTTTAGGAAGCAGAATATAGGGAGAGGAGGAATCGTAGTCTGAATACAAAGAGAAAACAAGATAAAAAAGTAAAAATCAAGGATTCACGCGAGGAGGGGGTTAATGTTAATCATGAAACGTCTGAAAACACAATCAAAGGAAATAATGGCGAAACAAGATTTTGATTGCTATAGCCGAAAGTTCATTATGAAGAAACATTGAATGGATATTGAAAAAAACAAGTTACCTATTTCCCACTTGTAGAAGGAAAAGAGACATGTGAAATGCAGTCAATTCAACAATTAAAGTGAATTAAAAAAAAGGTCACTTAAAATTTGAGTCAAAATAGAAATTCAAGAGATTTGTATGCAACTGTTTCCCGAAGAATTCATGCAGACTGCAGTGATACACCTGAACAACTTACAGACTTAGATACTATTATAACTTGAAATATACAATTATGATAAATAATAAATATTAAGTTATGTACATTATATGTGGCCGTCCTTAGGGAAAAGAACCTTAGTCCACAGCGGAAAATTTTCAGTAAAACAGATTTTGCAGAGTTTGTTTCCAGGTCATTCGTGCTTGCAGTTTGCATGAACTCAATCCAAATATGTCTAGTTGAAGAGACGTGGCTAAATGGTTAATGACAATACTAAAAGAATCGTCTTCAGGATAAAATTTTAGAAACTTACTTTTTCAAAGGCACTTGACTCGCTGTGGGGATCTGCCCGCCATTCCTGGCATCAGTAATACGACAAGCCACCATATTGTAAGCTGTTGAAAATGAGCAAACAGACTATTAATGTTGGACCAAAGAGTGAAAAACAATACCTCTAAAATGCTTGAGCAATGAAAAGTTAGAATTGCATAGACAAAACAACAATTTTTGTGGTGATACTTTGCAAAAAAAAAACTGCAACCTCAACTACATGGACTTACCTAGAATTAGCCTAACTAATGTACATCAGCGGTTGTCTGATTTCCTTTCATGTTTTATATTTTCAAAGGAAAGTTTATCATTATTCTAACTTGAAGCTTGATTTTCCTTTTTTGTTTTATCAAAAGATATAATATTACCTTTATTAGTCATAGCTCACTACGTTTTTAATTTACTAAGTTAGGTTTATAGGTTAGTTTTGTTTGGATCAAGCCATAAGTTGAGTGCTAATAAAGATATTATGGCTTCAACCTGTCAGAATTAATGATTACTTAAAATATAAGGCATTGGAACTTCATATTTGAGCTAAAGAGAACCAATCAGAGAGAAGTAATGAGAAAAGAGAAAAATTAAACTTCAGACATTACCTTTTTCCTGTTTCCGCCGTTTTCTCTTATTACAAATTTTTACAGCACAGACAGAAAGGATAATTGCTACGATGAAAAACAGGATACCTCCAACAACGCCAGCAGTGATTGCTTTGTGTTTTACTCTAGCAGGCACAGAAAATTTATGAATTTCGCTACTTTGCCACGTCGTCACTCCAAATGCAACGACTCGAAAATGATAAGTCCTACCACCGACCAGGCTCTTGACTGAAAAGACATACAAGAACAGAGAATTTAACAAGTGAGGAATTTTCTGGATTAAGGTCCACGATAGTTAAAGTGTGCTTGTTTGCTGATAAAGTAGCAGAAAATAAAGGATATATAACTGAAATCCAAAATTTTAGAGGAGAAAACGCTCATTTGAGCACGAACTTCTCTAAAAATTAGAATTTCAGATTTACACTGAATTTTAACTTAAGTTAGCAAAATTACCATCACAATGTCTAAACTTTGATTCAGATCCAGCTTGAGGTGAAATATTAATTAATTACTATTGAAATTTTGCAAAGTATGACTGAGAACAATTTTTACAAATTTGTGTTGTTGACTCACCAAAATAGGAGGTGTCTTCAGGCTTTATTTTTGCTCCTTTATTTAGTGTCCTCCAGGCCCCATCAGTGCGAAATTTAATGTCATAATATTGAACTAAGTTGTGGCGTTCTGCTGGTGGCTCCCACGAAATCACAAATCCATTACTTACTTCTGTTACAGTTACATTACGAGGCTGACTAGGACGTGGCCCTATGATAATAAAAAATTGATACATGTTATGAGAGGAATGATAAGGATCATGACTTTGTAATTTTGTACTCAAAAAGTAAATAATGTATGCTCATGATTTTTTCTTGAGGAGACGTCTTGCACATTTCTTTGGTCGGCAAATGCTGAACAAAACAATATTTTCATGGAGATCGAGGTACATCAAGAAAAGAACAAGTTGGATGCTCGACAGTTCATTTTAGAAGAATTGAAAGAAAATAAGTAGGAACTAGAAGTATTTCTGCTTCTATCCGTATTAAGTTCGCAGGCAAGACTCTGAATCTGAGTAGTTAGGTTTAAAAATGAAAGATTTGATGTGAGAAAGATGAAATCATTCCTATAAAATTTGACAGACTAGAAAGAACTAATACATGAGAAAAAAGTGAATGGCAACATAGAATGGCTCAACTGACTGGTATTAAAAATGTTGGTTTGAGAGGATCTAAGTGAACAACGAATTTATTCAACTGGGAGGTAAGTAATTAAAATGCAGCACATACAGTGCTTCATCATTATTCATTTATTTATTATATTTTTTACTGCCCTGGCTGTTGGATTCAGGGTAAAAAAAAACAGTCTTTTCACTTATTTTCGACTTGCAAGAATCACCTCATACATTTCAAACATGTAATTGCACCCGATTTTTGAGGACTAATTTTTGAGCTCTAAAAATAATTCAAGAGAGAAAAAACACAAATTTGCATGGAAGACATCATTCTAAAATTAATTTCAATTTATACCTAGTATACAAAATGACTGAGAAAAAAAAACAAAAAAAAAACAAAAGACTAGGTACCTAATGGCATAGCCTACACACTGCTTTTCAATTTGGAAAAGAAACAGGGATAAAAAAGTGTTCAAAAGAGAGCTAATTCAGCTTGATCAAAAGTATTGATGATTTTAAAAATAAATTATAAAAGAAGAACTACAATCCACTATTCAACTGAGAATAATACTATAGGACTAATTTTTTCCAATCTAATACATGAAACATGCACATGCAAATAGACAGAACGTAAAGACTCTACTGTAATCCATTCATTCCTTCTCTTTAAAAACCTACGTAATTTTAGGACACTACTTGCTTTTTGCCATGGAGCATAGTTCAGGGTGTCAACCGACTCAGCGTTAATTGATTTTCAAGTTTCAAGACGTTACAAATTTTTAATCTTTTTGTAAACTTTCCTGACTTTTTCCTGATTCCCTGTCCTGAGAAAAATTTCCTGGCAATTTTCGATTTTATAGGCCTGTAGACACCCTGATAGTTTATTATCAGACCTTTCAGCTGACAAACTTTCGTCAAACCTACAGCTTTTTATTGTAGGTAGTCAGATACAGTTTTCAATCGGAATGTTTTTAAACTGTCTTGCAGAATTTCATTAGACGACTGAAAACTGTTACTGTCTGTCAGCACAGCCTACAGAAATAAGTAGTCCAGATATCATTGCTTCATTATTCTTCCTTTCGTTTTGCAAAGGAGAGAAGTTCTTCAAAACCCTTTCCGCTTACATCTTATGGCTTCATTTTGCCTTAATGAGACGTGAAATAAATTTGATGCCATACTAGAGCCTGATAGAAATTGTAACTCTTTCATCTTGCTCTTAAAAAGCATGAAATAAACTCACTCTACACATCTTTAATGGCTCTCGTGTGAGACACGATGAGGCATGATGGTTTCAGATATTAAGGCATCAGTTTGATGAACATGTCTTTTATGAAACGAGGGCTGATGGAGAAACCAAAATGTTAAAAAAAACTTACCTTTGGGCCTAAAAACAGGCGGAATAAGAGTGGCTCCTGTGGAGTCAGTTGGGAATGAAATAAGAGAGTAATCATTTACATCTGGAATTAAAACGAAAACACCTAAAATGACCAACTAACATAAACTGTGGATACGGTTGACATTCACCGTTAAATCATAAAAATAAAAATGTGGATAATGATGAACGGAGGAATGAAAACAAAAGGAGGATAAATAATAAAGGACAGGGGTGGAGAATTGGAACTCACTGAAAAGAGAAATTGGTTAGTACACAAACTTAATTACGCACATGATACCAACATACTGACAGCATGCAAGCAAGATAGAGTTCACCGCTTAAGTACCCAGCAACCAACATGCACTAAGACTAAGATGAAGCTCCAAGGACACTCTAAGTGTCAACTGCCGCAAATATAAGTTTAAGAGCGGTTAAGAGAGGTTTCTGTCACTGAACCGGAAAGATGGATTGTGTAGAACCAAGGTCCAAGGTGTCAACTAGTGAGCCACCACTTAAAAACTTTGCTTTTTCAATTCTTTCTTTTACATTTTTTCATACTTTCCAAAAAATTCCCATTTTCAAAGGTTTACCAAAATCCTTGTTTTTTCACTGCCCACTTTTTCTTAGAATGACACTCATTTTGAGCTCTGAAAAGAATAGAAACAAAGAAATTCGGATTTGAAGAGTGGAATATGGGAATTCTAGTGAGATGAACTGAAGGACACAGAATCTAACTGAGATTTCTTGGGAATGTGATATACACCAGAAATTATGTAAAACAATTGCATGCCCAAAGATAACTTGGAGGAGAATAGAATTTAGTTGCTTGAGAATGAAAATAAATACAGACAGAGAAGAAGTATTTAGTAAAACTGGTCATAATGCATTGTAACTACAAGGCATGCAAACAAAATCAAATTAAGAGTAAAGTGTAAAATTGTACTTGATTAGGAATTGGGCAAAAACCTCGTGAAATGAGAGTAAATGATATGAATATGCTGATTCAATTACAGTAAAGGGAGCATTGTTTGTTACTATACAGAACAATTAATCAACACTCGGCAAACTTGAAATTAATAACACTGAACCCAAAAAATTTTTGTTCATTCTGACAAGAACGCAAAATTTTCCCCTGACATGTACATACGTAATGGAAGTTTAGGAAGTCTCATGATGATTGGAGTCTGAACAAAATAGAACTATTCTTCAAATTCAAGATTTTTTCTTGGTCTAAAAATAAAGAATCTTGTTTTTTCCCCAGAAAATTTAGCATTTGAGACCAACAGCACGCATTAATTTGTACAATGAATTTGGCTCATTAAATGTAAATTAATTTGATTCAAAGTTGACTAATTATCTTCCTTTGAATTATCCACAAGGATAATAAAGGCTCTTGATTCCACAGAGCCCAAAAAAATAAAAGCCTATGTTTGAGAATAATCTGGGAAAATAGGAAAGACGAAAAAACAGGGCACAAGGTACACAATCACAGTAAGCCAAGCAACTACTGTATAAAGACTCCGATTCACACCCTTACCACTTTTCTCCGGGGAGGCAAATTCATGGTCAGGTGCTTGTGTCGTAGCGGTATTTGGCTTTGGCGTAGGTTTATAGGCTTCTACAATTTTTACAAAGAAATTCCAAGGGTGAGCAAAGAATGAAAAAATAGAGGCAAGAGATTAGAATTTAGATACAAATGACACTTCAAAGCTAGAAAAAATCGTCATGAAAATATAGTACAACAGATGCTCACGCTTCCATCCCCATGTGTGCCGTACCAAAAGAATGTGACAAGAAAACCTTGTAATGCAGTGGGGCAAAGTGAAATGGTCAGAAATTCATTGACAGTTGAAAATTATTTAGGAAGGTGAATAAGCTGCAGCAAAAAGGGGCCCGATAATTTTTGGAGTCCTAAATTGTTTCTTAACGAAAAAGGATCTGCCATTTTCATTATACGGTGAAAGAATATTCCACAAAAGATTTATTCTATTTCTTCGGACCGATGTAAGTCAGATTGCACTATTCTTTAAATTAAAGTAAACACTGACACGCTTCTGGACCCTGCGGCTCCTTCTTTAATTGATTCTTAATTCCCTTAAGTCAGAATTTCAGTCTTGAAGAAAGGACCGCATGGTCCAGAAATGTGTTGGCGTTTATTTTAAGACTTCTAATTTTCTTAATTTTTTTATTCTCTTTTCTGTATAGAATAATGAATCACTTAACCCTTCACAGTTGATTAATTATAAATGAGGATATGCACATTGTAATTCCATCACTGAAGTTGATTTTTAACCCTCATGTTTTTGACCAATTTTCAATTTTAAGCAAGGTAAATGCATAGAGAAATGATTGAACTCTGAACTCCTCTCCTGGCCAACAAACAAGCCGGTATCCTTGTGTCTTTGTATCTGGTAACTCATAAGATGAACAACAGCTTCATTTGACCAAAAACTAATTACAGTTAGGACAAGTAAAGTGGTCTGGGTTCTCTATCACTACCTCCCAGGCAAAGTTTGCTGACTATACAAACAATGTTTAGCGAGATGAAATTTAACTCCCGTCATTCAGTGCCTAGTTAACTACATATCCATTATTTGTATCAAACGTCTGTTCAAGAAGACGGTATTGAAATGTTTCAGTTCATGTAGAATTCAAAAGCCATACTAGTATCGGCTAAAGTTGCCATTTGAACATGTTGATGAGGAAGAAAACACTTTTGGAGTAACTTGAACCAAGATTTTAAAGAGCAATATAGTCAATAAACATGACATTAACACATCATCAGAGAGAAAAACAAGTCAGTTGAGACTTAGCATGTTTAAAAATATGTAATAGAGGGTCTTGACTTTACATAAATAAAAAAATAAAATAATAAAAAGTAAAAAAAAGGCCTGTAGAAATATTCTAAAAAAATAAGTGCTCAAATGGGATGAAAATAGCAAAGCGTGCACTACTAACGCAGCAAACATAAAAAACGATGTTTGGTAAGTACATATTATTAATGATCAGAAAAAAAACCAAACCAAGAGAAAATTTTAAATTGTAAGTTCGTAAAAAAAAAATCTACCGTCAAATGAAACATAAGGTGCAAAATAAAATCGGACTAAAATATAGTAGCTTTTGCAAGTTGGTTGAGCTGTACTGATGGATGAAATGGTTATTTGGTAAAATTTCTTTAATGTTAGAAAAGTAACAACACAAAACGAAACAAACCAAAAAAAAAAGAAAACTGTAGAAAAAAAACAAAAAACATTTTAATGCGGGGAAAAATAAGAGGAAAGAAAAAAAATAGTTAAAATATACAGATTTCAGGAAAAAGTCTTTCGATTTTTGGGGAATATGGTTCGGAATCCAGGAATATATTTCATAGAATTTGTGATTTTGTGAAATACAAAATTTGTGCAATGATTTTCTACAAATACTCATCACAGGAAACCAGATAAAAATGATAAAAATCTAGTGTTCCGATTCTCAATATGATGAAAAAGAAATAGCATTGATAAAAAATGGCAAAGGTACATTCTCAGAGCTCATTCAATTGGCCATGCTGGTGGTTTGGTGGCCACTATACAAGATGTCAGAGTATGATGGCTGATTATCTTAAAGCTTTTAAAGAATTCTTGAGGAAATAAATTCAGCGTTCCGTTATGGGAAGATACTTTCTAAATATTGATGTTGTACACTTCAATTGCATGTCTCTATTTCTTGGACACTAAACATGTACTGAATGAAAAATCCTTTTATAGGGTGATTCATTCCAAAATTGTTCCTATTTCATTGAAAAGATTTCCAATTATGGGGGCTGCACCAATATCATTAAAAATATCTTACCTAGTGTTCTGACAGTGATTATTTTACTGAGCATTCCATCGCCAAGGGCATTTTTGCCAATGACCTGGAACTCGTACGTAGTGCCTGGCGATAACCTATTGATAGTAACTTGAGTAGCACCAGCAGGGGTGACAGGAATTGTTGACCATTCGCCTGCGCCTGCTTCCCTATACCTAAAAATTAAACATCAAAATTTGAGCATTAGATTGTTATTCTGTGTTTTGCATAATGTTCACAACAAAAGCTTGTGCTTCTACAACTTTTCTCTTTCAAATTTTTAAATTTGGAAGTAGCAGCAAAGGAAGACTAAATATTTTAATATAATTTTAACTTATTTAAACTAAATTACTGCTCAAATTTTGTAAGAGTAAGTTCAAAGCGAACAAATTAATCCAAAAAACACTGTTTAAGCTTCTTAACAGAAAATATTATTTTTCACCAGTTTTTGACTCACTTGCATACGATTAAAAATTTCCTTGGTCTAATAAGATTACATCAATGACCTATACTACCATACTGACCTAACAAAAACTAGTAAATGATCTAATGATATAATACATAAGTAATAGTATCTTAATAAAACTTTCAACAGTTTAACCTACAAAGAATATTTCATCTTTCAATAAAAGACTTACCAAATCGTGTAATTCTGTTTGTAGTCGGGACCTCCACTGTATCCTGGTAACCATGAGAGAGAAATGGAGAACTCTGAGGCAGTTGCGGTTAAGTTGTCAGGTGCATGAGGTTGAGTTCCCTCAACAACCAGCTGCGTTGATGTAACAATGGTGGCAACCTAGGGACAATGAAGATACTTGAGAAAAAGTAGCATTGCAAAGAACCGATCACTCAAATAATTCTGTTGATGCATTTCAAATAACATTTTCACTACCTAGCTGGCTTGCGGTGTTACCACCTGTGGAGTGAAAAAAAATTTAAAAAAATGTTTTTCAAACATACCTCATTGCTGGCGACACACTGGTAAAATCCAAAGTCAGTCCGCCGCAAACTATCAACAGTGATATTACCACCAACACCTCGCACTCGGCTTTTGGGGAGAGGTTGCCCATCTCGCTAAAAGAATTAAAATAGACATTAAGTTACGACACACTTTGAGATCAACTTCAACAAAAAAAGACTAGATACCAAGAGGGGCACTGATTTAAATTGAATTTGGCATGCAGGTACATAAAATTTACTTCGGCTGCCAAAAAATTAATTACTTATGAGACTTTAAAAGAAACCCTGAATTAACTCTTTGATAAGATTCAAATTGAATTATTGTGATGCTATGAGCATTTAATGTTTAAAGCATAATTTATTCCCTCGTGCTAATGATGAGTCAAAAAACAATAGAGAAAAGAACCCACAATACAAATACTGTAAATAATTGTTCACTGAAAATTTTCCCCAGTTCATCAAACCACTCAGTGATGTTGATCCCATTTGCTTGTGTGAAAAAGGACAATTAATTTATTTATTTCCGCCTATACTGCGATTTAGAAGGGATATGAATATTTTTTATTTCATAAAATGCTACAGTGTTTGAGCGGCATCTTACACTTACTTTGTGTTGGTGTGGAGCAAAAAAGTTACTTACCCTCTGCCACTGGATGGTTGGCTTTTGCGTTCCCTCCGCTTCTTGAGCATCACAATGCATGTCTACAGATTCACCAACTTTACGCTGGTACATGGACTCAGGCTCCAGCGTGAAAACAGGAGGCTTTCTCACAAGCACTTCCATTTGACCTGATGAGCCCTGAGTTCCTTGAGCATTATAAGGTGTGCAGGTGTATCTACCTTGATGATTTTGATTAACCTGAAAATAGATGGTCAAAGTTAGACATACCATTCGATAGGGTACAAAATTAAGAACACAGTATGTTACCTTGTAAAAATTTTACGTAAACGAAAATGGATCTCACCTACTTATAATATTTTTATTAAAGAATTTTCTTTACTATTTCTAAAAATGTTATGTTCCAGATTTAGGACAAATTTTTGCAAAATTTCACGATTACAGTGGAAGTCGGACACTAGGTACGAAATCGGTTATAAAGACGTACAATCTAGTTGTACCTGTGGTTGACTTCCCATTGACTCATTGTATTTGTGCATCGGTTATAACAACAATTGGATATAACGACCGAATCAGGCCAGTCCCTAGAGGGTCGTTGTATCCAATTTCCACTGAGCTTATTGTAGTTTTTGTCAACAAGACAAATAACTTAGACAGCAAAAATGAAAGAAATTAATAGCACAGAAATGTGGTGTCATGGAGAAATGTAAAGAAAATAAGAATGTTACTACAAATACAATGAGAAAATGCGGCGTTTGCGAGCATTAGAACACTTCGACGGTGCAAGTCGGCAATCACATAACTCGTTTGCGGTGTCTGAAAATCTCCGCAACTATGTTATTTTTTTAAAGGAGAGCAAAGTGACATCATCCCTTGAAGTTTTTGCAGAATTTTCTTCACACAGAGAAGAAAAATCACGGCAGTTTTAAAGAATTGCCGCTGAGCAGTTTTCCGTTTAAAAAATGAGGTATGACAGGAAGTCTGCGACGTCGCAAACCGAGTTATGTGATTGCCAACTTTCACTGTCGACTTGTATGTTTTTGGGGCCTCTAGAGTATCTTCCCAGTACTGTAACAGAATATCTGTAAAATTCGTTATTTCTGATAACCAAAATCGATGATCAAAACCAAGAAATACATACCCTAGTAAATAATAAAGAGCCATTGTTCATAATGACTATATCTTTGGTTTGGTAAGGCTCCAACAGTCTCTTGTCTTTCGTCCATGTTACATACTGCAACGGAGGATTTGCTTTGATATAACATTGAACTACGCCGGCAAGCCGGAATGGAAGGTACTGGATAGTGGGAGTGAAAGTCACTTTGGCAGGATCTGAAAACAAAACATCAAGTTTTACTACATGATGTATGAAAAAATTACACTACTTAAAAATGATATTCTACATTCAGCTCCAGTTCAAGAAATTCTTTTGATGGGAGCTCATCCCAACTTAATAACGAGGTTCTACTTTAAGGGCTTTTACAGAACGAATGCACAGGTCCTTAATAAAAGTGTTCTGCGACCCTAGATCTATTAAGCCTGAGAGATTTAGGTGCAATATTTTACTTCGGTCAACACTTATAATTCTTCAGATTTAAAACACATTATATTGGGGTTGAAAATAAAGGATAACACGAGTGCGAAGTAGGGAGATACTTTTAAATCTTCCTTCACACTCTTTTTTTACGAAAGAGTACCATTAAAATAGCATGAAAGGAATATGAGGTATAAATATCATAAAAACAACATTGTCGGGTTTGCATGCAGTAATGTTGATAAAATGAATTTTCTCTGCAGTTTGCGGCCCTTCTTTATCAACTGTCTACGGAGGAAAACCCAAAGGCACATGAGAAGACGGTTTTTTTTTTTTTTTTTTTAAACTACTTCAAATATCCCACAGGGGCTAGTCCTGCGCTTTAGTTCCATCCTCCTTCCGTCCCTAAAACCAGTCCCAGGCAACCATTGTTTAAGACCATCAAACTCGGGTTGCCTGGCCAGGAATCAAACCCGGGACCTCCCGATCAAAGAGCTAGCGCTACAACCACTACACCATAGGTGGTCGACTGAACTGTAACATAACTGAGGGGCGTAAAAACTGAAACAAAGTAAGTACTCACATTCCACACTGAGGTAGGCAGAGGCTATCTGAGGTTCACCAATCCCGTTAGAGACCTGACATTGATATTGCCCGGAATCGTCAGCACTCACAGGGTTTATCACAAGCGAACCGTCCTTCTTTTGGGTGACCCTAGTTTCTAGAGCAGCAACTTCCCAAACAGGGATACCCTCCCTAGTCCAATGGACGGTTACATTTCCTGGGAGGGCCTTCGCCTCGCAGAGGAACTGGACTTTCTCACCCTCTAATTTTGTTTGATTCGTTGGGGGCACCATTATCACTGCACCTCCTAAACGGGGGAGAAAAAAGTATATTAAAATAAAAATCACAGCCATACATAAAACCGGGAGGATTTCTTACAGGGAAAAATAAAACTAACTTTGACATATCTGAGAGATTCCAAGACTGAGGAATTTTATAGGTTAGCGTAAACAATAACAAACGCTCTCCCCGCTTCTATCCCCGCTTGGGCTTCGGGCTCGCTGATTGGTCGAGACCACCTACCGGCGGGAAAAAGAAGCTTGCCAGAAGCAGTTTGAATTATTTGCTGTTGTCGCGAACACAAGATCAACCACTCAGTTGAAACAACTAGGAAAGAAATGCTTTTGTAAAATTTAAACATTTACAACATTACATGTACATTACATTTACATTTTTTTTGGCTCCTTTATGAAGGCCATAAAGGAGGAATATGTATTTTCTGTAGCTCTGAATAGGTTGCGAAATAATTTTTGATCATTCTATTTTTCATTATTTATAGACTGGGCTTGCAAAAGACGTTTTAAAGCAGAGGTTCTCTCAAAGTACGTATAAGCACGTATCTCCAGGCCCGCCACATCCCATCTCGGGCCCTGGTACCAATTTTCTGGCCCGGGCCCCTAGCACAGGGGGGGGGGGGGGGTCCGGGGGGCCTCCCCCGGAAAATTCTTGAAATTTTAAATCTATTTGGACGCATTATGAAGCTCTTATGATGGAGATTTTCCATCAATTTCTGCAGAATAATTACGCCTTTTTGTTCACTTTCAGCACCAAAAACTTTCGAATTGTTGCATTCAAAAACATCTATAAATTTTTGTTTGAGGGGGCAGATGATAATTTTCAATTCTATGGGGAGCCGGGCCCCCCTGGACTCCCCTTTCGTACGTCTATGGCAAGGGAGTTAAGCCATTGAAGTCGAGGATGCCCAGAAAGGAGCCTCTTAGCATCCGACAACGGAAGAAAATGAAACACAGTTACTAAAAATTTCATTCTACATATACTCAAAATCTTGAAAATCTCTAAAAAAGTAAGAAAAATTTTATAGTGCCCTAGCGTGTTTTTGAAACTTTATTCACCTTTTGCGGAATTTTTAGGGTAATTTTTTGACTTTTCCCTGCGAGACAAGGGTTACACATGAATTCGTAGTGGTTTGTCACCTGCGTCACGGGCCCCTCCAGGGCCCGGGCCCCGGTACCAGGGACCCAGTATCCCCCCCCCCCTTGTGGCGGGCCTGCGTATCTCGATTGCGATGTTTCAAAATTTCCGCTTCCATTTTATTTTTTCGAAGAGAAACACGCCCCCTTAAGGCTTGAAATATTTACAGAGTATTTTGCCAAGAGAGAAGAAAAAATAAGAAAGTTTCCAAGACATTAACTTGACTGGTTTTCCGAAGAAAAATCAAAGTACGACAGGAAGTCCACAACGTTGCAGACGGAGATGTGTGGTTTCGCACGTCGGTCATCAATATATTTCGTCACCTTTCGGCCAAAGTATCACAAGCTTCATACGACGTTTCAAAATTTCCGCCGCCATTTTATTTTTTACATAGAAACTATTGGTTGACTCTGTTTGGAAATTTCACTGAATTTTATCGGAGAAAAGAAAATTCAGTGAATTTTTCGGACAGCTTCGTTGAACAACTTCTCTGTAAAAAAATAAAATGGCAGCGGGACTTTTAAATGTCGCATGGCGCTTGTGATACTTTGGCCGGAAGGTGACGATTTTTCATGCCTAACCCAAAACCCTAAAACCTAAAACCCCGGTATATAGTCCCGGGGTTTTCCAGGTCCCAGGCACGAGAAACTTACCAGCAATGATGACCCGGGCGGTATGGCTGGTCTGGCCTTCACCGTTGCGGGCGATGCAGGTGTAGTCGCCGATGTCCTCGTGCCTGATGTTGGAGATCCTGAGTTCGGTGCCGTCGTTGAAGACGCCGGTCGTCGAGGAGGACTCGATCGGGTTGTCATCTTTGTACCAGAGGATCTCCGGCGTCGGGGTCCCTTCCGCCACGCAGTTCAGAATTATGGCGTCCCCCAAGTTCACGTAGATGATGTCCGCCGGCGTCACACTGAAACGCGGTGGCGCTGCAACAAAAAGGACGACCCTCGTAAATATGATGCTACTAAAAACTGGCAAAATACTTGAATCTTACTCTATACATAACAGGTATCAAGGTTATTTTTGAAAGCTAGCCCTAGAAATTTTGGGTCAAATTGATCCGACTATCTCTTCAGGGGGAGTTATTGTGCCAGTACATACGAGCTATACATATAGGTTTACGATTACACCCTAAAAAAAAATCAGACTTCAAATTGAAAAGAAAGGAAATCAAGTATCAACACAGTCAAAGATAGGAGAGATGCAATCGGGCCTCGTTTTTAACTTTCTGCCCAGTTTGAGGGACATCTCATTCATTGACAGCATAGAGCGGGGCATTGCGAATTCACGCCTCGCGCCGTCGCGCCTTCAATTTTGCAGACGCAACACGGACATCCATCAAGCACGAATAGTTGTATCTCTGCGCCGTTATCAACGCGCATCTCTTCCGTCGCTTCATTTCCATTTTGTATTTGCTCCCGTTTTTTTTTAATTTATTTTAAATTAATTTTATTAGCAATGGTGCTTCGAGGGCTACGTGAGTCTCGTTCCGAAGGATAAGATTAAGATTTTCCTTGATAAACTGTGACGGAAACGGAAAACCAACGAAAGTCGTTTGTCAAAATACATGTTCTCATTGTACTATTATGCTCCTTTAAAAAGCTCTAGTTAACTGAGTTTTTCGAGAAAGAAAGAAACGAGAAATTCTCATTGGATCAACCTCTATTTAAATTAAGGACAAGGAAATGCTAACCGTTTTTCAAAACGTCCGAAAGCGCAATGTCTGAAATTTTTGAAAGACCCGATGGTTCGTGAAACGCAAAATTTTGAAAAATTCAATTAAATATGTATATAACTCTCAAATCTCACTCTGTGACATAAAATTACAAGAGTAACGCTTAGAGCATAACGCTTGAGGCGCTGCGGGGGGTCGAACAGCGAAGCGGTCAAGGGGCGTACCGCGTACCCCCTCCTTAACTTTTAATCCTCTTTTAAAATTCATAAAACTGGTCCGAAAACCGCTCGGTCTTCAAGTCTGGACTATCATTACGGAGAACTCATATCCGATGTTGATGGTGTAATTTAAGTTAAGGGTCCGGCCCCGGAAATAGCAAAGGGGCGCCCCCCCCCCCCCCCCCCCCCCCCCCCCCCCCCCCCCCCCCCCCCCCCCCCCCCCCCCCCCCCCCCCCCCCCCCCCCCCCCCCCCCCCCCCCCCCCCCCC